TGTGTTTTTTTTAGAAGCTTTACTTAGTAAGATGATCTACCGAAAGAATATCTTTACTCAAAAATCGAAACAAATACAACCATTATCGTAAAACAAATGAAACCGAAAAGCCATTAATTTTCTTTCAATTCCTTAAATAATAGAAGAGAAATATGATAATGTATATAATTACATCCGCGAGATCAAGTGATATGTAAAAGGCTCTCTTGGTGAATTTAGTTGGATTTAGTTCAATTAAAATGAACAGCATGCTTTCTTTAAGCCGTATTGCAAATATATTTAATAATTATTGATAATCATACATATCAATTAAGAAAAGAAACGATTTCAAAAGTTAATGTCTATTTTGTTTTAATAATGAATGTGTTTGGTTGTCCTTATTTCACCTTTCCTATTTCCCTATACCTGTATGCTTAGTGCTTAAGGGTTTTATGCTTTAAAAACAAACTTAAGTATTTTTTTATCCAATGTTTATTCTTGTATAATATAGTAAGTAAATAACAAAATAAAATAAGAATTTCGAAATATATACTTTTTTATTCATTTTCAGTAAATGTACACAATAATATATTCGGATTTTCGGGGTTCGATTTTTCATGCTCAGATTTGAATACACCGACTCGATCACTACCCTACTAACCCACTAATGCGTTGGTCACATCCCACCGTGCGTGTTTTTAGTCCGTACGGTTTTTGGGGAGGCCACGGCCGCCACGTTTTTATGAAAACGTAGGGAGGGAGTGGTAAGGGCAGGGAGGGAGTACCGGCAACGCGCGTCACACGCACTGTGTAAGTACGTGGCCCGCACACCACGCCTGGTCGTGAGCGGTTGCGTGCATTGTACGTTGCGCACGTGGTAAGTGCGTTGTACGTGCTTACAACGTGCTTTCAACGTACGGTCTCCGTGCGGTTGCCACGTTATCGTACTTAGGCCGTACTTACAAGTACTGCTCACGTACGGTGTCCTTACTCACTCGCATGTTGTAAGTGCGTGCACGTGCGATGAACTCGGTGTATATATAGGACGACATTCCGATGTTCTCCAGAAGTCCCAGCTGTTGCTGCCTCAAGACGCCGCCCATTCCACCGCAGAGACTATATACTGCATAAATCAGTGCGCACAACGTGCGTTATAAGTGCTTACTCGGTACGGTCTACGTGAGTTCTGCGTGCTCATTGGACAGCTGAAATGGGGAAGTGGCGAGTAAGCACTGGCCACGCACTTATCACGTTCGCCTTCAAAATACGCACGGAGTCAGTGCGTTGTGCGCTCGTTGGCAGTACCGAGCACGCACGTCACACGCACTGGGGGTGAATCGGTAGCCCGAACGAAGCCCGAACGCAGCGAAAGTTCCTCGTGCACTAAAAGTGCTACGTTGTGTCTGCGTGCTCCCAAATCCGTACGGAGGCGGTACTCATCACGTACGGATACCCAAATTTTGCCCACGTTTTTGCACGTAGACAGCACGCACTTGCAAGTACGGCGGGATGTGACCACCGCATAAGTGCCGCGGCGGGACTTGAACCGCTATATAAAAACTGAGCATTATTATTATTAATAATTTATTCCAACGCTTTGCCGAAAAAGCTTGATTCATTAACTTTTGTATTAATTTGAGGAATATTAAGGAGGACTTGGGAAGACTTGAACTTAGCAGTTTAATAAAAAAATAAAAAAAATAGAGGCACATCCTTTCAGGCACTTAAATATTAAGAAAATGATTTTGAACTAGATTCTAGCACAAACAACTAACCAATGTAAGAGGATATAAATTTGAACAGGACCTCCAGACAACCTGAGTAGCACATTTTGTTATTCTTTGAATTCGGTTCAGTCGAGCAATCGAGCAGATTTTAGAGAAAGGCACTGCAGTTATCAATAGGGCACATTACCTAGCTATGAAATATTCTTTCCGTCAATATAAAGTAAGAATCTAATCATAAAAATTGAAATATGTAATTCGCGGAGTGGTCTCAAAGAAAGACTTGGCATGAATTTTTTGCAATTATTTCCTGTTTTGAAAACTGGGTGTAATCAGATCCCAAACTGAAACTCTTTCTTTTAATGAACACTAAGCACTACTGAGTAATAATAAAACAAAATGAAACTAAGGATTTTCCTCGAAATTTTCCTCATTCTTAATGCCATACGACAACAAAAAGATAGACTTTTCATCGTTATAAAAAAAAATGTGGGTGCGATGAACTGAACGATATACATGAAAGGCCAATGCCCCCCCCCCAAATGCAAATTAATAACCGTCTTAAAAAATGAGTTTCTGTTCTAGACACCTGATTGGCTAAAATTCACTTCCAATCATCTTAATTTTGTGTTCATTTATTTTGATTGGTCCATTGAATCTTCCCCGTGCCACATTTGGGCGTCGTTCCTATAAATTCCTATAAAGGCTCGTCGATATCGTATCATATCATATTTCTATATTAGTTAGCCTCGAGATGAAACGCACGTCATTTTGTGTATTTACCAGCACCTGAGGTTATTTCAGAATTCGAAGGTGTTTTCTTTATCATTGTTATCTTTATCTTGGAGGGAAATCTCATGCTAAAGAAGGTTTAAGAAGTAAGTATTACGTTTATTTTTTTAGGACCGCTTGCTTGTAAACGTTTGTGTATTGGACAAATAATCTATTTTCTATTTCATTTGATTTGATTCGATTCGATTAAATTTCATTCAGGTTAGTTCTATCTTCTTTGATTTTCTTGTAATGTAATTCAATTTAATCTAATTTAAGTTTGACTAATGCTATTTTTTTATTTTATCTCTTTACTTGGAAAACAAGTTCAGATTTAAACTTCTAATCTAAAGCGTTTGGGGGTAAAGGGGTAACATGCGTCATGCGGGTAAACTCGTACTTTAAAATAGCCTATTCGTAACCGTGATATATTGATTTGAAAATAATGAAGTATTCTAAAGTTGTTACAAATGTTTTCTTTATCAAGAATATTGATAAGCAATACACATTGTGTGTATATTTATATGTGCATTATTTTAATCCAATACTTTTTCAAAATTTATCGATTTCGTCAACCTTTAATTTTTTTATTTAAAGGTACTATGTCCCTTTTGCAGCCAACCTCAAAATCTGTAGAACTTCGCAGGAATTATGAATATGTCATGCATGTCCTATCTGTGAAATATAAACGTTAGCAGTGTCCTCATATTCAAATTATGCAAGGAAACCCGTTTACTTGCTAGACTTCATTGTCAGACACTATTGAGTGACTGACTGGCTTTTTTCTTCTTTGGCAATAACATACATGAAAAGAGTTGTAAAGGGTACATGAGCATTTGTCTACATCAATAACCCACTTCTTGTGATGGCCAAAATTAAACTGATTGAATCTTTGCGCAGCATAAAACGTATGACCATTCGGTACAATTGTCTGAAAATCAGACTATTACTTATTGGCTCTATAGCCCCTTAGTCGATTTGATAACTAATAGTCGTCATTTTCCCACTTGAAGACATTTTCAAGCCCCACCTTTTTTAGGGAAGTTCTAAATTAGTATTATCTTTCAAATGCAGTTGGAATTTGACTTTTTAATTTTTTTTGGCCTGCAAATGGGACACAGTATACCTTTAAAACATGTGAGGAAGAAAGGCCCAATTTTACCGAAAGCAGCTTATTTAATTGGTCGCTTGTTTGTTTATTTGGTGTTTTTCTTTTTTGCTACTGAGAAGAAGAAAATAATTACTCATCAAGGTGAAAACTTCCGTCGCTTTGATCATCTTCAACTGTTGGGAACCTGTAATATCATACATTAACATATAGAGCAACGTCGATCTGGCGCTGCTTAGCGGCTGCCGGGCTCACGATCAATTGGGCAAAAATAGTTTTCATTTTCGGTTTAACTTAATAAATTTGGAGTGGACTTTTAAGGATTATTATTATTATTATTGTTATTATTATTATTATTATTCATATATGGTGAACATTTTTGTCTCTCAAACGCATGCAAAAGATAAATATTTTCTTATTAACTCAAGACCAGTTTGATGGAGGTTGTACCTTCATATGTATACAGTTGCTCTGCATAGTCATGCACATGGTAATGTCACAAATGCCAATCACAGCGTGAACCTTCATTAAACAAACAATTATATTAATCTTTGTTGGACAATATATATCAAAGTGAATTAACTTTAAAATGTTTGACTTATGCGATTTCATACCATCAGGCGTATATGTTACTACCATTGGCGTATCGTAAGTCCGCCCATGTGGAGGTGTCATGGTATAGTGGTTCATTCATTTGACTCTCAATCCAAGGGCCTAGAATTCGAATCCAAGCCAGGCGCTAACCTCCTTTCGGCAAGACATTAGTTTACATCTATACCACTCTTCACCCAAGTGCTAAATGGGTATACCCGATCATCCTTATAGGATGCGAAAATCGTTATAGCTTGCTCAACATTGTGAGCGTCTTTTATCTAATGGTGCATGACTGGAATGCCACCAGGGAGTGAAGCATGTGCATACGTCAATGTAATGCGGAAAAGCCTGAATCTGATGACCGGGGTGATGATTTATCTGCGTTTAGAGACATCGTCGATGTATCAAGCCCTGTACAAACCCATCATAATTATAGGTATTTTTGTTATTCATAATAAAATACAATGCGAATTCACAAGGTGATTCAATTTTTTCTATTTCTTTTCAAAATTCTCCCAATCCCTTTAACTCTTTTCTCGCCCCTTTTAATGTATTATATTTGTTCTCTTTTTCCGCCATTCGATTAGGAGGGGGGGGGGGGGTAACGTTGCCCCGGTAGGCACGCCGACGTGTGCTTTTTATCATAGTTTATGACATAAAGACGAAATGAAAAATAAAATGAAAAATATTTTCATGTATATTGTCTGTTTCTGATTCTGCTAATAAACCAAATATGAGTTTGGTTAAAAATACTAGCCCTGGAATTTATATTGATGTATTATTAGGTTATATTTTATACACAGGTGGAGACTGTTTATCTCATAATGGAGACTATAACGATCGTACAGCCAAGAGCCCCGGCGACGGTGAGTCCTTTTCCCATCACAGTTATGCGTTGAAACGAAACATGAATCACGAACAAAAATGTTACTCACAGGATGTTAATTTTTTTTATCATCGTTATAATTGTTATTCATTCGGCAAAAGCAAAATCAATAAATGGTGAATTCAGAACAACAGTAAGTTATTCACATGTCAGGCCTGTTTTCGTCAGCCCGCGAGTTGTCCAAATAGCCCGCTGTTTCTGATCCGGGAAATTAGCCAGATCACAAAATAGCGCGCTATTTGGCCGGTGAAGACACAAATAGCGGGCTATTTGTTCCGAAAATAATCGTAAGACATCTAGGGCTAGTTTGCAAAATAGCTCGCTATTTGTGCTCCGTGCTCACTAGCCCAAAAACTCGGGAAGATTTCTCGATCCCGGCATGCCTGTCGATATCCTATTTTCCCGGTTTCAGGCGCTAGTTTTTTTTTTATGCACGAACGCTTCACGTGCGATCAGCTGTTAGCTAGAAAATCTGAATTTCAAAAAATAAAATGAATGTGAAAATTTTGAAGCAGATGAAACAATTATCCACAGTTGTCTAGGGTAAAGGCAGAAGAAAGGAAACACACGGAGGAAACAAGTTCGGGAAGGGGCACGTGAAGTGATTACAACGAAACATAATCATCTTATGAATAATTTGATAATACATTCGATGACACGATATAGCTAGAAATGAAAAAGTTACGATGAGACACGATTTGACACAATCTGCCTCGACATAGCACGACATAAAACTCGGAGACGCTTAAATTGAGTCAATTTTACAAAGCTTTTTTTTCAATTCATTTATTTATTCCTTTTTTTTTTATCCAAAAAAAATGTACTCATTTTATTTATTCATTTTGCTGTGGTTTTCATTTTCTTTGTTATAAATTTTGACTCTTTTGGGAAGTTTCATTGCAAAAAAATGTTTGGAAAATATTTTGGGAAAAAATTCAATGTTTTTTTTTGCTGTACAATTAAACTTGTTTTCCTTAAGTTAGACCCTCATTCAAGTTTACCCGAAGAGGTAAAATTTGACATTGTTACAATCTTTTATTGAAATACATTCTTACATTTATTTTTATGTATGAATTTATCTACTTTTGGCTTATTAGTTGATATTTATATATCTGTTTTGTATTCCGTTATCTTTACTATAAATCTAGGCTATTTCGGAGAAGTACAATGTGTGTGGAGCTATCACAACCGGGGTTATGCTCATACTCTGCGCTGTAGGCGCTGGGGTTTGTGGTGCAGTCTCTACAGGCTATCAAGTTAAGGCGACAGGTCTTCAATTCACCGAAATGGCCGTAAGTTTTTTTGAACATGTAAATGAATGGCAACTAGTACGCCCAACATGGGTCATAGGGGAATTCACTGAGCTATGTGTATAAGAAACAAAATGTGACGCGTATTAAATTTTACATCATCATGGAAAAAAAAACAGTTTTGCCGAGTCATATCTGAACTAGGCTTTATATAGGGTGGGCGTAGGGAATTAGAGACCCTTAAGCACATTTGCATAATTTACATAAACATGAAAAATGTTACACATACAGAAAGTTTTGTATTCTCTTCAGTAACTTCTTCTCTTTATTTGGCAACAAAATTGTGGTCATGATGTAACTGATTAATAAAATAACAATAATTAATGACGTCATCACCCAAGGTCTCTCTTTACCTACATGTGTAGGTAATAAGGGACAGTTATAAATCAAGAATTTTAAATACAATTTGAATGAAAATTGGATTGTTAAAGTTAGTTCAAACACTTTTTGAAAGAGACACATGCAGCCAAGGAACTTACTGTAATTTTGAAACGATTTTAAAACAATGTGGTCCAAAAAATTCTGTAGATGTTATTTTACAATGCCATTGATTTCATCAATTTGCTTTCTCTTCTTCTTCTTCCACTTCTTTTTTCGTCTTCTTCTTCGTCTTCTTTCTTCCCTTCTTCACTTTCTCCTACTTATCATTAATATACTATATTCTTTACTCTTTATTCTATTTTTCTTTTCTTCTCAACTTGTACACGTGTCTCTACAAGAAAACCTTTAATGGGTTCCTTATATTTTAAGATCTCTTTCATAAAAAGCTCCTGTCTACATCATGATAAAGCATAACATTTTGTTTTCATTAAATCAAGACAATTTTTAGATTTGTGAGGTCGCAGTGCAGAAAACCATATCTTATAAAGAGGAATAAAAACAATCCTGATGGGAATTTTAAGCACAATCTAATCATGAAAGACAGAAAAGATATTTTATAAGAAACATTATTATATCAACTTTAGATGCGAGCAAGCGTAGCGAGCGTGCTTCGGGCGAAATTATTGAAAAAATTGCTCTTACTTTGCTTTAAATTATGTCCACAGTTTATGGTGAATGGAAAAAGGGGCAAATATCCAAAGCCTGAGGGAAAATGACACTTATTGAAAAAGAAATGGAGCACGCGTCAAAGTAAAAAAGGGGAATTGTCAGAAGTGAAAATGGGGCACTTCTTGCACTTGGTAAGGGGCACTCACCAGAGATGAAAAAGGCCCTTATGATAACGGAAAAGGGGCACTATTAAAATTAAAAAGGGAGGGGACACGTGTCAAAAGAAAGAAGGCATTTATCTGAAGAGGAAGGGGCACTTATTACAAAAGAACAGGGCACTTGTTGAAGTAAAATGGGCACCTCTAAGATTTGAATAGGGCAATTTTTTAGAGGTAAGGGGCACTTATCAGAGTTGATAGAGGCACTTATAGGAATTTGGAACGGGAACCTTTCCTATTAAAAAGAGGGCACTTTAGGTTTTTTTTGCCTGACTATAAATTTGGGGATTTGTCATTTTCCAACAAGCGCATACATAGTATGATTTACATAAAAGTGAGAACCCCGCCCCCCCCCCCGGATACTCATGTCAATATCAGAAACATTTGTAAATCACTCTTATCGAATTTTAAATAAAGCACGTTACTGCCCCAAAGCACCACACCCCCCCCCCATCGGTACGCCAGTGACCACCACGCAGCAGGGTTGTGAGGACAATGGCTTGATAATGATTTATACTGACTAGAGGGCATAATTATGGTCATTAGCTCTCTATATTTTCTGTTCCATTTTATTTTGCTTAATTTTGTTTATATTTTCAGGTCTTCCTCCTGACGGCTATTCTCGCCTTGTCATCGATGTGTAAAAATAAGTGCATGGTATGTAAAACTTATTTTAAATGACCTTGTTGTTTTATATTTCATGTATCATTTCTTTATTTCTTAAACAAATTTAATCATTTAAAACCCGAGATTAATTGCTACATGTAAAAGTAAAGAAAAAAAAAAACTTAAACCAAAAAATAAAAAAAGAGAAAGCAAAGAAAAAGTGTTAGGGAATTGAATTTGTATGTGTTTGTAAAAAAAATAGGAAAAATATGAATGAAGTATCGACGATACTTTTTATGGAGAAATCGAATCGTAGTTTGTATAGCAAATCCTTGAATACTGCATATACCAACCGACAATAGTTCAAAATCAAATTATTTGCCAATCTTTAATTTAATTGATTTTATTATCATTACAAATAGTTATAGATTATTAATATCCGTTCTCGGAATTTTAATCTAAACATCTTCTATTTGCTGCATTATTCGTCGTACTGGACGTTCCTTAAAAAAATATTTAACAAAATTATTAAAAATAAAAATTTAAAAAAAATATTTGAAAAAAAAAATTGTTCGTGATTTGTCCATTTGAATCCTGATTTTACATGTTTATCTAAAAAAAAAAAAACAGTCAGGAAATACGGCTTATTGAAATAAAAATGAGAAAGAAATATGGCCCTTATTATTTTATGTACGTAGATTGGGATCACCATGTCTGCTTGCATCATATCAACCTTGATGGCCCTGGGAGGCTTGGTATATTATTCATCACAAATATACCAGGTACTGAATCCTGAATCCGTCTCTGCCGGTCAGGTACCACCCGGGGAGGAGACTGAATACCTCTCTAGCTTCTCTGGAATTGATGAGGACAGTGGCGTAATGAGCAACACAAAAAATGGGGGGGGGGGGGGGGCAGAAAGAAGAATAAAAAAAGAGTATAATTTAACAGAAAGTGAGACCCCCCCCCCCCCCTGGAAAATCATGTCATTTCAGCAAAATGTGTAAATCACTTGTATCGAATTCGAAATTGACCACGTTTGTATTTTATTTGGGGGGGGGGCTGCCCCCAACCCCTCCCTCCATCAGTACGCCAGTGGCTAGGGTAATACAAAATATTTAGAGCCTTCGGGAAGAGCAGCTTTGATGCTGATAAGGCGGGCTCGTATTTTGCATTTTTCCTGTCAGTTAAATCAAGCAATTTCAAATGTTTTATCCATTTCTCAAACCAAAATGTACTCTGTAAACTTATTTTCTATCGAAACTTGTATAATTCATTTGGTTTATCATATATGGTAATACCGTATGGCTTACATAGGTAATTGTAATTTTTTGGATATTGAGTGAGAAAAAAAAAATCATCTGTGTAAACTAATTTGTTATTATTATTATCATTATGAGTATTATTTTTATTATTACTATTATTAGTAGTATCAGTAGTAGTAATAATAGTAGTAGTTGTTGTAGAAGTAGCAGTAGTAGTAGCGGTAGTATTAGCAGTATTTTCATTGTTATTTTTTATTCTAAGTAATTATCATTAACATTATTATCATTATTATGATCATAACTATCGTTACTACTATTAGTAGTAGTATTAGTATTAGTACTATTATCATTGAAATAAGTATTAATATTATTATTTTTACTTTTTCATTTCTTACTTTGTTTCTAGCTCTCGGTATCGCAGGCTGACGGATCAGTCATATTGGGCATCGTTTGTGGGATGGCTTTTATCAACCTTCTGGCGTTCATCACAGCACTAACAGGGTCTGTCTATTGCTGCACGGGACTGGAATGCTGTGTCTGCGAATACTGTGTGTGTCCCACATGTGATGCGATGTCGTATACCATTTAAAGCCCTACTGCACTAGTTTGACCAAGAGGGATTCAACCTCCCTGCATGGTTACTGACAGGTGGTTGGTTATCTCACCAAATCATGAGCTTCCATGAAACGACCAGCTGAACGGACCTTAACTCAATCAAAATGACGCCCCATGCGCAACAGGTACAAGACAAAATGTAAAAACTGACAAGAGTTCCTAATACACTAAAAAAAAAAAAAAAAAAAAAAAAAAATAGTCAAACTTACTTTAGCGACTACCTGTATATAGAAGACTATCTGTTTATAAAGAATAATTGTTTCCCTTTGAAATGGCTTCTCATTGAGACTTGTTAAAAGAAAAAACCTGCACATAAAGACCACCTGCTTTTGAAGATCACTTTTTCTTGTCTCCCTTGAGCGGTCTTTGTATACAGGTTTCACAGTACATGTAATTTCAAAGTACTTGTAATTAGATATTATCAGGGCCCCATTTCACAAAACTTGTCATCAGTGACAAATGACAGTTTTTGTTATAAGCTACTGATATTCTTGCTTCTGATTGGTTATCAACAGATTTGTCACTGATTTTTGTCATTTGTCATTGAGAAAAGGCTTTGTGAAACGGGCCCCTGGTACGTCACCAAGTGTAGATATTTCTCGGTAGACTGTATCCGATTCTTTAAGCAATTAAAGACCGTCAATACTATGGGCCAGAAGGGATTAGACCACACATCGAGGTCACTGACAGGTGGCTATCTCATTAACTCAGCTCTCAACTAACATGAGAAAAAGAGGATCATCGGGGACCAACAGGCACCGATTGGGGAAGTTTTCTATATAGAGAGAGCAAGTAGCTACAAGTAGGACAGTGGGGCTTTAATGATTTTGATGCTTGTAGTATTAATAAATCGTAGGTATTTAGGAGCATAGTGCCAAGGTAGTATTAGCCCTAAGCCATTAATGCTTAGGGCAGGCCTTCTCAACTAGTTTATTAGAAGTGCCAAAACCAAAATGTATTGAGGTTGAAGTGCCAACCTGTTTGTTTGGTGACTGTGTTGCGAGGGAGCGTAGCGACCGAGCCGATACTGGGTGGGGTTCATGGGGCGAAGCCCCCGGAAGCTAGTGGATTTTAGGGCTTATTTAAGGCCCAGATGTGGCATTTTTAACACCTTTTTGTTCCATAAAACATCAATCATATTTTCATATTGATTTGAAATAAGTAGTACAATTCCGGGCTAAAATCTACACTGGAAGCTAATTTATATGTAGTTATTTTGGTGCAATAAACACGGAAAATGTCAAAATCAAGTGAAAATCAAACAAACAAAATGACTTACTTACATTTTGGGCTCAACTTCGATTACGACTTTTTGATTTTGCTGAGCTTTTTTAATTTTAAAATGTATTTAAAAAAAAAAAAATTCTTTAATTTTCAATATTTAATTTGTATTTATTTTGTATTAATGTTTGGAACAGCCCCGCGCCACTCCGACTGACCGCAAGCGCCACAAGTGGCGCGCGCGCCGCCAGTTGAGAAGGCCTGGCTTAGGGTATACGGTAATGCTTAGAAATTAAAGAGTGGACAAAGTAAGTCCCATACGAGGTACATGATATAAATAGCTATGAAATCTAACTGCATTTTTGATTGTGCAAAATTCTATTACAACAGCACTTTTGTTTCATTTTCTGTGTTATTTTACAACCCTTCCAATAGTCATGATTAATATGCATTTCATGGTGAATTCACAACTACAATGATGCACGTGTATGTGTATGTTTTCTTTTAATTCATTGAAATTCATTTTTCTTGTCCATGATATTAAAGGGAAAGTCCACCCCAAAAATAAGTTTGTTTCGATAAAGGCAGAATAATAAGAAAATCAGGTGAGTGAAAGTTTGAGCAAATTCTGAATGAAAATAAGAAAGTTATGAATTATTGAAGTTGTGATCAATCAAACACAAATTGGCAACTCTATGACGTATCATGCGAGCTCAACTTCCATTTCAGTGCTCAGTACTAAAAAAATCTAAAATTTTCATTTTCCCTCAAGAAAAATTTCAACCATACATGCACCCTAAATATAATAATTGCAAATATGTTTCTATACTCCCCCTGCAAGGAACAAATATATATTCCGTCATCAATAACGAAGAAAACATGATTTTATGGAATATTATACACAAAGCAAATGAAGGAGAGCTCGTATAATAAGTCACAGAGTTGCCAATTTGTATTTGATTGATCACAACTTCAATAATTCATAACTTTCTTATTTTCATTCAGAATTTGCTCAAACTTTCACTCACCTGATTTTCTTATTATTCTGCCTCTATCGAAACAAACTTATTTTGGGGGTGGACTTTCCCTTTAATTGTGGGGCATCAAAGTAAATTAGCAGATATACATGTACGACAACTCATTTGTAAATGTAATTTTTGTCACTGTTCAATACATTTTCTATTAAAGTTTGGTTATCAAGAAATAACTTACCTCTATCCTCTTGGTCGTCCATGTTGTAACTGTTTCAAATATTAGAATAAGCTAGTGTCCCTATATACGGAAAAAAGGACTCTGGAATAAGCAGTGCAATGGCGCCATCTAGTGATAATTTTATCGCAACCCTTCTCTCTTTCTCTTTGTACATTTCCCTCATTTCCTCTTTCTCTTTCTCTCTCTCTCTTTCTCTTTCTCTTGCTTTCTGTAACTCTCCCTCGCTCCCCTTTCATATTATCTCTATGTTTATCATTCTTGCCCTCACTCTCTTCCACCCATTCTATCCCTCTGTATCTTATCCTTATTTACTCCTCTGGTTCTCTCTCATTCTCTTCCCCTGTCTCCCTTTCATTTGTATCTTTCCTTTTCTTCTCTATCTCTCACTATATGAAAATCACCAATCTGTGACTCCCCATAATCTGTATTTTCTCATTCTCTCCCCGTGTCAATTCATGTGTCTTTCTATTTCTATCCCTCTCTCTCTCTCTCTCTCTCTCTCTCTCTCTCTATCTCTCTCTTTTCTCTCCCTTATCCCATCTATTCCCCTCTCTGACCAACGTCAGAAAGTATAAGGGAGTTTACAGATAGCACATGGTACAAATGATCCCAAATATCCACAGATCTTTTACACATGGAGAAGTTCCACTTTGAGCATCTTAGAATAATAACTGCCAAAGTCCTAGATGTGCTTCATGAATACCTTTTGTTTGCCCTCTTGAAAAGAATACTTCCACCTGCGTATCTTAGAATGTACCGTTGGTGCATAAATTAATAATGTTACATAACTTTCATGAGCGCATATCCAGTATTCATCTCTGGTGGGTTTTACCTTTTTGGTACAAATGACCTTTATCTGCCCATGCGCAGATTGTATCTGTAAACTCCCTTATTGACAGTGCTTGGATTCAGTTCTTTGACCGTGTCTACCATCATTACGGCTGGCGATTAAAATTATGAAAGCTGCAATCGTAATAGTCATTGTCAAATAAAAAGCCAAACCAAATATACTAAAGACAGAAAAATAAACAAAACAAAAACAAACACAATCAATCAATATTCTTTAACCATAACAATTGTGTTATTCACATTATAACTTTAGGCATTTTACCCTTCCTAGTCCGACTTCAGGATTTACAACTTCACTGAAAGATATTAATCATAAAGTTTGAACATGTCTCTGTTTCTGCTGCATTTGGCTTTCACCTCTGGGTCATCAAACATTATTTTGTGTTTTCGTAGAACTAGCAAAGAACTCTGAATTCTTCAAAGATGTGCATAGAAAGCCTTATCTGAGTCAAATTTGTTATCATTTCAAAATTCTAAGAACTCTCTTCTTCTTTTGCCTTGTATATCTCCTTGAGGGAAACTTTACGATAGTAATCTAAATGATCAATATCTCACCTTGCTGTTTGAAACTTTGAACTTCACAATCTAAATCAGTTGGATTATGAGCTGTCTTCAACTGCCAATTACTACTGATCCGACTTCTCATTAACATGGTGAACAATTTTGTTTTTAATACGATGAATTAGACGTTGAAATGGCTGAATGAATATATAACATTTTAAATACTTATGTTGCTTGTACAAAATATTGTTTTCTAGTTATTTCAGTATTGTAGCATCCACATTGGTTTACAATAGACCTGACACCTGTTAACTATTACGTTATGCATACTTCCTGAACAAAAAATTCCCTTCACAACTAAAACGCTTTCTAAGCATGCCTCACATAGCAACAACTAATATAAGTGATCCCATCTATTGAGATGCCTTTAATCATACTAAAAAAGTCTATTCGAATATTAATCTGGGATACGAATACAAGACAAAAGAATACACTTTTGAATTTCCATGATCATATTTTGCTTCTTGCTTTGTCATACTTCTGAGTAAATATACAGTGACAACACCAACACCCCCCCCCCCCTCCCGCTTATTCACAGGTTGGCTGTTTCGCCGTTAAATATTTTCTCACGAATTGGGCCCTCTCTTCGGCCCCCTCCCCTGCCGCCAGCTGGATCCGCCCCTGGTATGTACATTCATAAACATGTAACAAAGCTACACTATACAATGAGATGTATGATTGAATACTTATTGTACAAGATAAATAAATAATTTCAAAGCCTTAGGAAGTGGCGATTATATTTACAAGCAATTTTACAACATGCAATAACTTATTTCAAGATATTATGTCCATTACATCGTCTCATTTAAATATCACATAATATCAACTATTTACTAGGGTAATAATGGTAAATACATTCATCATTCTGTATCGCATAAATGGTCCTGTATTACGCAATAAAATAGTTATACTCTATAATATAAACAATAAAGATGGTAAATAATCTCACGATGATAGACCATCAAGTAGCTAATTTGATTAGATTCTTTTCGTGTGTTATATGCCTTTCAAATTGTTAAAATACAGTCAATTCATGGTGAGAAGTCTACACAGTATCCACTAGGACCTTTAGGATACATAAGACCTAGTATTACCCTCAGGCAAGTTATTTAACAGATGGAGATCTATTCCGTAACAAGAAGCTTGAAGTTACTTTCTTTCTGGTCTGCTCGGCCGAAGCTCCCACCAGCACTACTACTCGTATCGGTCCAATCTGAACAAATCGACATAGAACAACTCGTATTGGTATCACTTAAACATGGCGGACTAAAACAACGATCCTGAGTAAACATCAAATCGACGTGATCATGACGCTCGTCCGAATTATCCTCCTCCTCTTCCTCCTCCTCCTCATCGTCATCGCCTCTGTTCGCTGTATGACCGTTTTCGCTATACTCGCTACTTCTGTTGTTGTTATTGTGACATGTTTCAGGGTCGAAATCGCCATCGAGATCGAGATTCCGATTACCAAGCTCAGGATTGTCTGGCTCATTGTCCGGTTCATTGTCCAAAGGGAGCTTATCGATGCCGCTGGAGCGAGATGTGTTCAACGACGCGTACGACGTCGCGGATTTAATCGACGACGATGAGTTGTCTGTTCTCGATAGTCTATCAGTGGGTGTCGGCGAATCATGTACGTTCAGACTAAGCATTGATAATCTTAATCTTGCTGGTGTCGTCACGATGCTACCGGGTTCGATACTGCTCGGATCAGCTTGGTAGGCCAGCGCGGTCATGATCTTTTGATCCGGAACCGCCCCGGTCGGTTTAACCGACTGCATGAGGGTTGTCGCCGGAATCAGATGAAACGAGATACTGTCTATGAACGGAGTCATGACGTCACGTAGCTTTGAGGAGGGATGCTTTTCCATGTATGCGCGACTCCATGCGAGCGCGGCTTGGAATTTAGTAAGTTCGTCTGCTTGAAGCTCGTCACGTGATAGAATAAGCCTGGCCACGTGATTCGGAAGCGCCGTGAAGGCTGGTAGTCTCAAAACCGATTCTGCGTTAATGTCCACAAACTCGAGTGCCTTTAAAAAATGAAGAAAAAAAAAGAAGGAAAAAAAAATGAAATTAATTGTGAAAGTGTTCTCAAAATCGTTTTCTTTCTCAAGTATTCATCCATGTATCAATATATAATTAATCATTCAAACATATTCTTACTGCATTATTTATTTATTTATTTATTTATTTAATAAAACATCTTTTAACAGGATAACAATGATCAGCTCGCAGGCTGTTTTACATAATGGTCCTGACTTGTAGGACTGTTTTATACCATGGTCCTGGTAAACCCATTCATTGCACATTGAGCCCAATGTTCGTTCACTACAACTTGTCTTTCATTATAAAGCCACCCTTTGATGAATCGTCAAGCAAAAATAAATAAAAACATTAATCTTAAAATCGCTACACTCAAAACGAAGTCATTTCCTACGCAACCACTAATCATTAATGGCATTTGGTCAATACAATTTGAGAGCAAAATGTCGACACGCTGATTCTCTTGTTACTTGTCATATTTCGATTTATTTCTAACTTTAAAGAAAATTGACTTTGTTAACAGTATATCATAGCAATGTCACTAATTCATACATACCTTCTGTACAAGTGACTTGGTAGACTTGTACTGAATGTACTTCTCTGCAGAGCGAAGTAGTAAACATACTGTATCGATATTGACGCAGTTCTGAAGATACGTCATGCAGGCTCTTCTTAACTCGTCTAGCCCGTAGTGGTCAGATGCGTTCATCAAACCTATAAGAACAATTAAAAAAAGAAGAATGTTAGAGACGATAACGTGATGACGGTGTCCTTCTAGAAAAAAAATTTAACAGGCTTAAAGCTTTATGTACATGACGTATTAAAAAGATAAGCTCGTTGCACACTAAGCATTATTCATTACGCCATGTGGTGATGATGAGGAGGAGGAAGACGACGACAATGATGATGAAATCACAAAGTGAAAGCAAATATCTGCTAAGGCTTAAAGATAAACTTGAGTTCTGGTAAAAAAAGAAAATGAATTCTCACAGAATCTAACGAAACTTACACTGAATGTTCAAGATCATAAATGTCATGTGCCAAACAATTTTGGAAGAAAATGTATACTGGCTGAGTAATGAGCATAGAAAGATAAGGAAATCAAGGTAGTACTAGCCCCTACACCATTTGTGTTGTCCCATATACATCTTTCTGTGTACAGTGATTGTTACTACCAAGACTGGGCCAAATTTATGATGATTTTGATGACTCCAGAACCTTGCAGTACACACCAATACTTACTATGATCAACTTTTTCTGATCCATTCCACACCTTTTCTTTCACAATGCAATCGCATGACTCACCTTTATCTTTAATCTGCGTAGGTATGATAACGCAATTGAAATGAAACACTAACAGTATACTGGATGAGTGTATTGTTCACTGCACATGACGCGAATTGCAAGAGTAATATCATAGACCAAATCCGTACAAGGCCCCCCCCCCCCCATCCAAAAGAAGAAAAAAAAATCGCTTTGAATTACTCTTGTATGCGCTAATCGCCTTCACAAACTTGAGTAACGCATTCAATGATGCATCCGAAATAACGCTTCATATGCAACAGGTATATATTAATAAGAGGGACTTTTAGATTTGCACGTCGACATAGTGGACTGCTACGTGTGACGTCATTTTAAGGCACACTTTTAGATTTGCACGCCAACATAGTGGAAAGCGCAAGGCCTTAAAATGGAGTCTCACGTAGCAGTCCACTATGTCGACATGCAAATCTAAAAGTCCCTATTGTCTCACCTAGTACTATCTTGGGTTTGAGGGTGACGCATCCCGTGTGACAGTACTGGATGAGTTGATGGAAGACTGACGGATCAAACTCCTCGATGACGATCGTCCTAGGACCACTGAGGGCGCTATAATCTTCTCCCAGATCGATACTGCTTCGTCGTATCATCTGCGATACACGCTTCCCGAGCTTGTCCGTTGTCGAGACGTTCTTCTTACGAGGGGTCCCTCGAGCTGCTGAATATAGCAACTTGTGGAAAATTCTGCGGACATCAAATAAAGAAAAAAACATGAATAATTATCTGCCCTGATAACGTATGACATCTTAATGAGCTGCCCTATTTTCTGTATCCCTTACTGTGTCATTATCAAACAGCTTTTGCCTTGACTCTGCCATGCAAATCTTACAGAATAGTATTTAAGTACCTAGCAAAGAGTTAGGGCAACTAAGCAATAGACTAGCTATCACAAATTAATACAAAAGATAATTTTTTTCTCTCCTCTAGTCTCTACTGTCGTCTTTTCATAGTCCGTATTTCTACTAGGTACTTTAATTGATTATTTCCCTTTTCTGAAACTCCCCAGCATACCTGCTCCTCGCAGCTAAAATGGCCCGTACTGCGCAGATAGGTTCTCTCGTCTCGCCTACGAGGAACGTTACGTCACAAAGTTCGGGCATGTGCGACAGGTATCGGAGATCTTCGGCCACGCCGAGTTTATTTTCGAAGACCCACGAATTTCCCCGATATCCTGTGACAACATTGGACTCGTCCATGTCGCCCCGAGGGGAGCCCTCCGATGTCGATGCGGACGGCAAGGGGAGACTCTCGTCTGCGTAATTCTTGCCTTCTTCCCCAATGTCTAGTGTATAGTTATCTGTAAGGAATGATAAAACAAAAAGAGAATTTGACTTACTAAAGTGAAATGTCGACGACTGAGGCAACATTAGGAAATGAAGAAGAAAAATACATCAAACCTCGCTAAAACCGTTTAATTAGGTTCATAAGTAATTGTTCTTTTAGTGTTGTATGTTCTATCTTACTGCTGTTCATACATTTGTTTATAATGCAGATGCTTTTATTGGACTTTTTTTTCTTCACAAGGGCGCTTCGAGTATTTGCTAACAAGTGAATTTGGCTCCAAACACCTTGATTAACATTATCATCATTATTTTATTATTATAATATGTATAACGACTCTTACAACATATAATAGCATTTCAATATACTAGTTGATTAAATTTATTACATTTTAACATAATACACCCGTAGTATGAACACAGATCACGGATTGCTTAGGAACATCTAATTTAAAGTGAGCCACAGCTTTTCTGTCACCCTATTCAGACAATTCTTTCATCTCCATCGAGTACCTTAGACACGACAAATAAATGCAATTTATCCGCAAACGTCACCAGACAATGCCATTGTTTTCTATAGATGGGACTGTTAAAAGCCGACCTGCATACCACAATAGGCAATTGAGACATTAGATTATGTAAACAATTAAGGTAGGTCTGATTCATACCCTTTATTGCCAAAGTGTTTGCTTAAGCTCTTTCTTTCTCTACAATCAGACAAGGGATTTGCTGAGTGGTTTTGGCTCTCTTCTGTATGTGAGTGTGATTTCTAACGACTTTCCTCAGAAGATAATGAGCCCGATTTGCAATAATTATATCTATTAATTACAAGTCATGTAGGTTTTAGCGCATTCATTCAAATGATATTCGGAAAAGTATGAGTATAAGAATAAGAAAGAAATAGACCTGTTAATTGTACTCTTGTTATTTTTTACCTCGCCTCTCTCGCCCTCACTCTTCCTCACGCTCTCTCCCTCTCCCCCATCCCCCTCTCTCTCCCTCTCTCTCTATGTGTGTTTTTGAAGCTTTCATCTACACCTTTGCTCCACTCAAACCGTCAAACGCTCTTACTCTCTGGCCTATCTATCCGGTCCCCCCCCCCTCTCTCTCTCTCTCCCCATCACACACACGCGCACACACAATCAGAAGCGCACACAGTTTGACTCCCCTAGCTAAGTCTATAGTACATTGATAGCATGGACCCTACATGTTGATAGAAGCGTTATATACACACAGAAAAAAAGAATCATCAAATAACCCTAAATATGGAGAATATACGGAGCATAACATTTTACAGACATTATTTGTCTATCCAACATGACTATGCTATTTCCTGTTTACACGTGGTTGCTTAATAAAAACCTAACCTTTAGTCGAATACTGCATAACAATGAGGTTAAAACATACGCATGTAGCATTACAATGGGCATCCCTTCCTATTCAAGAGACAATAGAAAGACAAGCCCTAAGATTTCAGATAACGATCGACTTCTGTTGATGTTCAAATAAGAGAGATAATCAATGAAATAAGGTGTTTTTTCGAAGATGTTCTGTCAAACGCTGCCCTTGCCTATGGCGCTTTAGATCAGTCAACCATGTATTGTTTGTCTCTTGTCGGTACATTTAAACCACACCTCCACCTAAGGCCTACAAAATGTTGTATTGCCCTTTAGGTTAAAAAACATGGGTCGGTCGGTCGGAAATCTTTTTATTTTTTTACCTTTTTAATTACATTTTTTTACTTCCTCTTAGGGCTGATATTTTTCAGTTTTGAATTTTTTTTTACATTTTAAAGCCAACCGTAGATTTCAAGATTTTGGGGTCGGTCGCAAAAGGCAATGCCACATCTTTTGTTGGGTATAGTCCTAACACCTCCTCCAGACTTACGAAAGATATAGAGAGATGGTACAAATTGATGATAGGAAGATACATCGATGTATTAAAGATCACAATGCGCTGATTTACTGAGAAGGAGGAGCTGGAAGAAGTAGCCAAAACATTTTTCGGAATGTCGAAATTCCCTTGAGAATAAGATCAAGAGAGTTTTAACAAATCATAGCAGTGCATAGAATAATTTTGTGTCTGGTCCTAGACAAAGTTGTATATAAATATTGATCTACTGCATGTAGACGAATGAATGGGAATTGAAACCCATAACAAGACATAGTTGCAGGATGACTACATCCCGCATTTTAAAAAGTTTAAATACATGTAAATCGCATATTTCAAGAATGATAATCTATATATGTCCTCATGTTGACGGAAACTGGTGAACAGAAAAGGCGAGACGATAGGGCGGCTCACTCCGAATCATCGGATCATCGCGTCGGGTCGGGTGTTCGCGTAACCAGGCCTCATGCGAAACATGCCCCTTTATTCACGAAATTTCGGGGGAAAATTTTGCGAAATAAATCCGTCTCATCCACAAATGGTCCTGTCCAATTTACCCGACACACTTTGTGAAATCCCTACGGCAAATCTACGAAAGGTCTCGTACTTAAAGTGCATATTCACCCCGGCGATCTTCCGTTTTCGGCGTTTCACGAAAGGTCGTGTAATGCGACCCCCGACCGGACGCGAAGACCCGGTGATTCGAAGTAAGCCGGCTAGGGCTATTACAGCCATTTGCTCTTTACACTGAATACAATATTCTGTGTAACATCTCTCCCTCCCCCTAAAAAATATATACAAAATTAAGCAAAAAATAAGCTGAACTCCTTTGTGATCTCTTTCTCAAGAAATCAACTGCGTACATCAACAGTTTGGATACAGACAGTCAGATTAACATTAACAGTGATGTGAATTTCAATCATTGAAAATATAAAACGACAAGTTTTGAAGACAACCAATTTTGTATTTTTTACCCATTAATATAAATAGTTTTGTGATTTGGAAGTAGAGATATGTGTACAAATCCGATTCAAATGAGATGGTGAATAACTACTCTTTCATCTGCAAGAATCTTCAGGAGTGAAGGAGGCAGATTATTACAAAGAAGAAGAAGAAGAAAAAACATATGCCAAGTTACTCAAGACTTGATAAAAACGACTTTAACAGCATCGGACAATGACAGCATCCATACATACCGTCCGTACTACGCAGGATATAAAGATGGAAGCTAACTTATCTTTATGAATCGAACTATTGTTTTTGAACGTGCATTTTCACGCTACACATAGGATGCAAATGCTTTTAAAAGTCCACATGCGTTGAATGATATCGACTTCCAATTACTTCTGCAGCAGTGAATTTGACATGTAAGCCGAAATTAAACAGATATGCGGAAAAATTCTAGAGAAAAGTCTTCTGATGAGCGGAGAGATTCATCCCTGACATTCAAATCCGAACATCGTGTAGCACTATTCGTGACTCAACTGACATATCATGGCTTGGCATCAATAACGACGTCTTTAAGGAAATGTAAAACCCCTCAGGAATGTCTTTAAACGTTTGCCTGAAGTGGGTAATACCCGTAATAAAACAAATACTCACACGTCATGCAACCCCGGTGATTTTGTTTGGTTTACATTCTTGTTATTCTATAACATATATCCCAAAGTGTAATGTAAACCAAAGAAGGGGGACCAAAATACTTCCTCTTTAAAGTTTTGTATTGTACATCCCTCGTAGAATATTTTCCAGTTCTGTGACGTCAGAGTAACATATTTGTTTACTATTTTCGTAGTTGTAATGCTTGTTATGCCCTGGCTACCCTGGCGAAACAACAGTGGAGAACCACACTAAATGAAACTTATCACCTTTCAAACTAGACAAGTATAGAAAGGGAAGAAAACGAAATTAAAAGAAAATGAAAACAAATGAGCAACCCTCCATTATGAAGAAAAGGGCATGTCACTCTATCGGCGAGTTTACGACCGGGTAACTGAACATTAAAAGGTTTGGTGTCAATTCATAGATCTCAATGCTTTCTATTTATCGTTATACTTTTATATTGTTGTTTTGTTGTATTCTGTATTCTTTGTATTATTAAGCTATGTTTGTATTCTTTATTATGTATCATTAACATGACATGTACATGTGTTGTACTCTCATACCCCAGAAGGGGGTCGAATGAGTCAATAAATTCTTCTTCTTCTTCTTTCGCAATAAGAAACACAAATGCCAAATCCATTCCACACAGGCAGTAGATATGATTTGACTTTTAATCCGTTGATGAAGATCGACATTTCAAATCATGTGAAAATGTAGTTGGGAGTGAATTAAGATATTGAAATTTAAAACGGGAAATTTAACTGTAATTTATAGGACGTTATAGTTTGTTTTCTATCTCAATATATCTCAACCTACGCAATTAAGAAACAACAAATGTTAGACTTGTTTGTATTTCACGCATGAATGAAAATCCTGGCTAAATTTAGAAATACGGACGAAGAATTAGAACTTCAAAATAGATCCTACCCCACGCGAACATGAAACAACCATGAACCGTATTTGCATGCATGTCGCGGATGAAATAATTGTTTAGTTCTATTTAGTTAATAAAAGCGTGATTTGTGCAGTATCGCGATTGCCTTTTTAGCTCTTTACTCTTCATAACAAGGGATTTCAGCGCTTTGAGCTTTTATTGAAACCCGCACGATCCTTACATTTCAAACGCACTTACTAGTTTCCTTAAACCTTATCTTGTATGATAAAATGTTGTGTACAAAAGTTGCCAGTAATTTATACTCTCTCTAATCTTCTAACTGTAATCACTCTAGTTCAAGACAATTATTCTAAAGATTTTTTTTAAATTCCTTTTCGTTTCTGTTCCTCCTTAAGGCATGCATGTCTTTTCATTCTATTATATCCAAAGATGGCCACTCAATATTCAAATTTGCATTTTTTTCTTCTTTTAAATTTTTAGAAATCCAACTGCCACATAAGTCTGTGAATATTGATGTGCATCCCCTCTTTCTTTCTTTTTTCTTCTTTTTCCCGTCTTTTTTCCCCTTTTACCAATATTTTGTTCCTCCATATTTGTATTATTATGTATCCTTTGAGGGTAGTCATACTA